GGGGGTGCCGGGAGCCTCTCTGGCCCCGGGCTCCCTTCGAGAGCTCAACGATCTGTGGCTGCCGTGCACAGAGCTGCGCGGCACGGTCAGTATAGCTAGCACAGGTGGGCCGTGGGGAAGTAGGCAGGGTAGCCAACCTGAGCTACAAGGCTGCCTCCACCTTGGCATGATCTTGGGCAAATACTCTGCAAGGCAAGAGTTCCTGCGTTAAAGTATTTGCGCTAGAGAGCGTCTACGCTGGCGTGTGCCTTTGCGCAAGAGCATCGCACAGAGCTGCGCGGCACGGTCAGTATAGCTAGCACAGGTGGGCCGTGGGGAAGTAGGCAGGGTAGCCAACCTGAGCTACAAGGCTGCCTCCACCTTGGCATGATCTTGGGCAAATACTCTGCAAGGCAAGAGTTCCTGCGTTAAAGTATTTGCGCTAGAGAGCGTCTACGCTGGCGTGTGCCTTTGCGCAAGAGCATCGGTGCCAGTGCAGACGCTCTCTTGCGCAAGAAAGCTCCGATGGCCATTTTAACCATTGGGCTTTCTTGCGCAAGAATTCATGTTGCCTGTCTACACTGGCCTCTGGCGCAAGAACAGTTGCGCAAGAGGGCTTATTCCTGAGCGGGAGCATCATCGTTCTTGCACAAGAAGCCCTGATTTCACACATTAGAACATCAGTGTTCTTGCGCAAGAACTCCCCGCCAGTGTAGACAGGCAACCTGTTTTTGCGCAAAAGCAGGCACTTTGGCACAAGATCGCGCCAATGTAGACACAGCCCTCAGGTGCAGAGCTGACTTTAAAGTGTTTCTTATAATCCCCTGATGGTGGGGGGCTATACTCAGGTACCAGTCTTGTTTCACACCCTTGCTGCAAGTTAGAACAGACCTCCAGGTGCTGTCCCTAGTGCCAGTTGTCTGTGGGACACTTCTGTTGCTGGGGATGCTTCAGCCGTGGCTTCTATGCTAGGGAGGCCAAGGGAAGGTTGGTTAGAAACCTCTGCTGTAGTTCTGTGGCACCTAATATTCATAGTGAAGTGCCTCTGATGAAGTGAGTCTTTGCCCACCAAAGCTATGCTCTAATAAATCTGTTGGTCTACAAGGTGCCACGGGACTCCTCATCGCTTTCATAGTAAAGGGCAATCATCAAGCAGCTAAATTCACTGGATTTTGAGAGCTCTGTGTTGTGAGAGAAACTCCGGTGAGGATTGACTTCTTGATACATGCAGCATTGTTAAGGACTCTGTGGAGTTTGCAAGCTTGTGTCTTTCACTAACAACAAAAATGTTACCTAGTCTGACTAGGATGTAAGCAACTAGTCAACTACCTGAGCCATAAGTAGTTTTTCCTCTCCCTTGCTGCCTCTGCATCAGAGGCAGCAAAGGCAGGGAGTAGGAGTCAGTGCTGGGGGGCACTAGCTTAAAAGCCATTTCCCTCCAACACTGGCTCTGTGAGCAGGGGACACACAGGCTCAGTGGGGAAACAGCTCAAGCAGGGACTCAAGTGGTCCCACTTGCACCAGGTCCCAACTGTTGTGCTTCTACTTTTGAAATGTAGCAGGAGTCCCGTGGGGCTCTTGCTACATTTCAGGGGCAGAAGTGCTACAGTTCCTTGTTGCGTATCTGCCTTTTAAATATAGTAAGAGCTACAGGTGGCTCTTACTACATTTAAAAGCAGAGGCACAGCTGGGATAGCAAGTGCTCCACCTCTCTCTTATTGACTAATCGAGTAGTTGATGGAAATTCCATCAACTACTCGGTAGCTTATTAATTGAAATTTAATATCCCTAATTCTGATTAGTGGGTATTTGTAGCTATGCCTGTAAGAACAAAAGAATGGCCATAGTGAGATACATCAATATGCCATTTAGTCCAGTGTTCTGGCTTCCAACATTGGTTGTTGCTAGATGCTTTAGCTCAGTGGTTCCCAACTTCTGGGCCGCAAACTGCTGGATGCTGTGCTGTGAGCCACTGGCCCTCTGAGCTGCTGCAAAGCAGCTGGCTTCAGCTGTGGCAGCCCTGGCACCTCTCTCCTACACCCACATAAGATGGCAGCCCAGCAAGGGATCTGAGCTCTGCACACACACACACACACACACACCCCCACCTCTACCCGTCTAGACTACATCCCTCTTTCGAAAGAGGGATGTAAATTAGACATATCAAAATTGCAAATGAAGCTGGGATTTGAATTTCACATGCTTCATTTGCATAATTGCATCACGGCTTTTTTCGAAAGAACCGCGTCTAGACCGCAGTTTCACTTTTGAAATAGCGTTTTTTGACAGAACGCCATAATGTGATTATGCAAATGAAGTGTAGGAAATTCAAATCCTGGCTTCATTTGCCATTTCAATGTCTAATTTACCTCCCTCTTCCAAAAGAGGGATGTAGTTTAGATGTACCCTGAGAGTGCATGGTGCGCTTGGGGAAGAAGGGGGCACGAAGAAGGAGGGAGCATGTGCACCGCTGACGGCCGCTCCCCCTACCTGTGTGGTAGTAATGGCCACAATCCCTAAAGGGGGCAGCCCTGCTCTGGGGGGTGATAGGGGTGTTGGGTGGAGGTGTGGTGGGCTCACAGAGCAAGAGGGTCTTGGCATTGGCTTTAGGGGGTCAGAATTTAATGGGTCAAAGGGCATAGGGGTGGGGGTCAAAGAGTGTTGGGCACTGGGGGGTCAAGGGGCTGGATTGGGGCTAGAGGTTAACAGGGGAGGGCTGGCGCTGAGGGAGGGCAGGGGTTAGAGGTCGGAGGGCAAGAGAAGGTGGATTGTAGTGGATCAATGGTTGTGGAGCCAGGTGCGGCACAGCTTATGCTTATGTCTCTGGGCGGCAGATCTGAGGGTGTCTGAGCAGGGTTGCGGGGCCTCAGAGCTTGTGGAACAGGCATTTGCAGGGTCAGTGGGGTTGGATTAGGGTTTGGCACAACAAGCAGTCATGGAATTTGTGGAGCAAGGAACATCGGGGGTAATGGAGAAGGATCAGGGAGCACTGGGAGTAGTGGGGCAGAATCGGGAGAAATGGGAGGTTGTCAGTTTAAGTCAGGGGTCACTGGGACACAGCAGAGGTGGTTGACAAAAGGAAGTTGGCAGCCGGGAGTGTTGGGAAGTGGGAGATGGTGGGCACTGGGGTGACAGGCTTGTCAAGACAGTCTTGTGAGGTAATGCGGTTAGTGGGACATAGGAGCTATCAGATGATGGGTTTGGCGAGTTTTATAATACAGAGACAGAGAATCAGGGTTGGCTGGCTGGGGTCGAGGTTCTGGGATTGGAGGTAGAGGGATGTGAAGTGGCAAGATGGGGTGAGTTGGTTGGCAAACAGGTAAAATTCTATTTGAATATTTTAACTATGTGATTCTCTAGTAGTTACAGTTATTGGCTATGGTGGTTGTTTCCTCATGTAACATTTGAAAAAAATTGTCTTTACCTGTATTGTTTTAGGAAATTGTTAGAATTAAAAGTCTGCAAGATATTTTATTTTGCTGAAAATATTGGAGTTGGTTCTCTAAATCTGTTGTGCCTTCTAAAACTTGAAGACTAGCATTGGCAACAATGAGAACTTTCACAGTACTGAATGACAAAAGATATGAACAATTTCCTCTCCTTTTTTTAATAGCAAGGAATGTGAGAGAAATGAATCTGGAAGAAATGAATCTGGCGCATCATCCGAAGACTATGTCATTGGGCAAGTGGTCAACAGTTTGTTTCAAAATAAGTCCACAACATGCAAAACACAACCCCTGGCACATCTTTTTAGTGCTTCTGAGCCTGAAACTCAGCCAGTGTTTGTTGCTGTGTCAAGAGTAAGTAACTTTTTATACACACACACAATCTTGTTACTTCATTGTAAATGAATGACGCTTCTCACAAGAAATGGTTTTAGTTTTTCCTTAAGTTATGCAGATTCTATTGAAAACTTCTTAGAACACTGGAATCGTATTCTGTCTTCAAGTGGCTGACCAGTGCTCCTCTGACAAGGACTGTGAATATAAGTAAAATCAATATATCAGACAACTCATTTGTCTTGACAGTGAAAGGAAGTAGTGGCAGCTTTCCGTGTACAGGTTGAACCTCTCTAGTCTGGGACTCTCTGATCTGGCAACATAAGTAGTCCAGCGTGATTTTAGTTAGCTGGATGTTCACTTACTGATGTGGCCTAGTTTCCTGAGGTCCCATACAGTTTGTTTACAGCCACCAGTCCTTGCTTTCAGTGGTCTGTGCTGTTCTTTAACTTTCATTTACCCCTAAATGTCTACTAAGAGCCCAGTAAGTAGTGGAAGTGTTGGTAATGCTGCTAGACAAAATTGACCTCCCATGGTTTGGCAAATTCCCTTGTTCAGCACCAATCAGGTCCCAAGGGTGCTTGATTAGACAGGTTCAACTTATATATCTTCAGTTCCCACAAAGGAAGCAAGATAATTAATAATGTCTTATTCATCTTGACTTCCAATATACAAACAAATAAAACACTACACATTAATGGAAAGCAGAAACAAATACTTACAAATAGTGATGAAACACTCCTTATGTATCCTTTATCAGTTTATTAAAGACCAACATGTATCCTTAGCTTCACTGTGGGGATTTAATCATTTGTGATTATTAGATTAATTAAAGACAATATGTTGGTCTTTCATACTTAAAACTAGCTAAGGGGCTTGTATGTTATAGAATATGCTATGATGTGTCTTTATTTCTGACACGTGGACTTTTTTCTTTAGAACAATCACTTGAGGGATAGTATGTAGATACATGGCACATTAATATTCTTCCATGTTTGCCAATATTTTTAATTATGATTATATGCTTATTGAGGGAAATTGATTACAGTGGAGTCCGGATTATCCGTCATTCGGTAATCTGACTTTATCTGACCCTGCAGCTCCCGGGGACAAAGCGGCTCTGCGGCATCAGCAACTCCAGGTCACGGGGCGGGAGAATGGCCTCCGCTCGCTTCCCTTTTGCTCTCCTGGAGCCGCTGATGCCACTTCTGCCGGCGCCGCTTTGTCCCCGGGAACTGCGGGGTCAATTAAAGCGCGGGCTGGGAGAACGGCCCCGCTTGTTGCCCTGTCGCTCTCTTGGAGCAGCCGATGCTGCTCCTGCCGGGGACGAAGCGACGCCAGCAGGAGCAGTCTCAGCTGCTCTAAGAGAGCCTCGGGGCAGCTGATACTGCTCCTGCCGGGGACAAAGCGCTGCCAGCAGGAGTGGCATCAGCTGCTCCAGGGCACAGGGTGGGAGAATGGCCCCACTTGCTGCCCCGTTGCTCTCTTAGAGCCGCTGATGCAGCTCCTGCCGGCGCCGCTTCGTCCCCAGGAGCTGCAGGCATCAGCGGCTCCAGGAGAGCAATGGGGCAGCGAGCAGTGCCGGGTGCCAGGGAGCTGCAGGGAAGGAAGGGGCCAGGGCCAGGGCCAGGCAGAGATGGGGCTAGGCTACAGTAGAGTACCTATCATCCGACATATTCTGTAATCCGACCACGTCGGTCCCGTTTAGGACGGAAAATTGGGACTCTACTGTATATTAAACATATTTTAGTAAACAGAAATTATGTAATAAGCATTAAGTGTCATGTAATACATCAGCAATTGTTGTTTCATTGCAGACTTGCTAAACAAAATAGTTTTGTGACAGACGTGGGCCAACATAGCACTTTTCTTCTTGTTTTCAAGGAGCAAGAGATACAGTCTCTAGAGCAGCAGTGCGCAACCCATGGCCTGTCTTTCTGGGGGGTCGCAGTGCTGTGATCTGGCTCGTTGCCTGTGGCAGGGGAGCAGCCCGGCAATTAAAGGGCCCGGCAGGTGTGTGGGGTTTGTCTTTCCCCCCCAATCAAAATTTTCTGGATGCTTTTTTTGGGAGGATCTGGTATTTTTGGTGACACCATCTGGCAACTCTACCGGCCGTTGGTGGTCCCCGCTGCACGGGAGTCACAAATGACAAAAGGTTGCGTCCCACTGCTCTAGAGGATATTTTTGTTCTATATTCTCTTTGCTTCAAGACCACAGACATTTTTATTTACATATAAGGACCATTTATTGTATACATGTCCTCCAAGATCTCAAATAAAATAGAATGAAGATTGTTGTGTGCATGAGTATTTTATTGTTGGGTGTATTTGGACATCTATCGTATATTCTTTTGGTGTTGAAAATGGATATTTTTCTCGTATGATTTGATGGTAGAAAACATTAGAATTGCTTTTCAGTGTGTCTCATAAAATGTGGTTACTTTATAATGGTTTTTCTGTTTTGTAACAAGTTGTGTATTTAAAGAAATAAACTTCTATACACCATACAATTTTTTAAGGAGAATAAGAAACGAAAGCATACCGACGTGGAAACGGCAGCAAAAGATCAGAATTCGTCTACTAAACAAAAAGCTCCTATAAAACAGAAGAAAGCCAAAAATAACAAACTGTCGGTAGCAGAGAAAAGGTTGGCAAACAGGTAAGTAAAACTTTTTTTTTAAAGATATTGTGCAACCTAGCATCAAATCACTGTAACAGCAAGATTTTGATTTGTCAAAAAATAAAATGCTTATTTATTCTGTTTTGCTATTTCTAATCTTGACTTTAAGGAAACTCATGGTAACTTCATATACACTGTCACAATAGGGAATAAAATCCCTAATTTGTCAGGGATTAAAGACACAGACTGTCTGGAACATTAATCTCCTGCCCTGAGGCATGCACTAAGGTGGGGTAGTCAATAGGCAAACTCTAGACCAAATTTTAACTGCCAAATGCTGTTAAATGGACTCTGAAATCTTTATTATTATTATTGTTGTTGTTGTTTAACTCTGGAGTCTGGACATTGCTTATACCTTGACCAAGAAATTTGGATTTTAACAAAATAACTGACTGTTCATGAACTAAGTTGTACTCTTGCAGAGATGTGTTCCCTATAGTCTGCTTTATACAAGAAAGAAAACCTAAATCCCAAAGTGGAGATGTGCTGGTAGATGAGCCATCTACCTATGACTTCTTAGTGAGCCTGTACCCAAGAGGCAGGTTTGCTATCAAAGCCACGTTGTTACATTGCTACCCCTTAAAATTGTATGTGTGAGTACTGTCATTCCAGTGATTGGGGGAAAAAATCATTGTTTGTATTAGCCTCTTGACAATGAAATGTGCTCAGTTCCAGCATTTGGAAATACCACCATGTATGCCAGTGGTCCCCAACCATTTGAAGTTACCGGGCGCCAGGGAGCGGGGACACTCGTGTACCCAGGGGCAGGGCCGCGCATACACCACACCCCCATGAGCCACATGCCTGGGGCCAGCAACCCTATGCGCCGCGTGGCCACGGGTGGGACTGCCCATTTGCAACAAGCCTGGGGCCAGAGTCTTGCAGAGACACCATGTATGCCAGTGGTCCCCAACCATTTGAAGTTACCGGGCGCCAGGGAGCGGGGACACTCGTGTACCCAGGGGCAGGGCCGCGCATACACCACACCCCCATGAGCCACATGCCTGGGGCCAGCAACCCTATGCGCCGCGTGGCCACGGGTGGGACTGCCCATTTGCAACAAGCCTGGGGCCAGAGTCTTGCAGAGACGTGCGCCCAGGGCCAGCACCCTCTTCCCCCCCCATAGCCGCGTGCCCAAA